CAGCCAGGCAGCACCGGGGGTTGTGGAGCCACTGCCCACCAGGCACGTGGCATGGTTAGGTCAGACCATCCTCAACCCAGTCCTTAAAGCAGGTTGCGGGCGCATGTTTTAGGACAGTCCAGTGGTGATCATTTGATTCACAAATCATTCCCTGCTGCAGTTTAAATCCAGTTTTGTTTTGCAAGAGCGAGTTAATTTTTCAAAAGTCTGAGGGTGAAATCCTGGACTCATTGAACTTGATGGCAAAACTTCTATCAACTTTGTTGGACCTTGCATCTCACTGCAAGGTTTTTATCTGCAGGCATTGATGGCCAATGTCAGAGACAGGAAATTCCCTGACAGATAGATTAGTATTGGTGGCTGTCTCATATGTGGTGTGTATAACACAATATATCCATCTTTCATAACATTTCCTCCCTGCCCTTCTCCGAGTTCATTTTCAATTTCACATTTTGCTCTTGGCCCTGCTCCCTACTCTGTTTTTTTCTACTGGGTTTTCTTTTTTCCTTCTGTTCCCAAGCTCAAGTTTTCCCAGGTATAATGACAGGTTTTCCTTGCTTTATGCGAGTTCTGTATGTGCAAATTCACTCTTATGCAACGACCCTTTTTATACCAAAAGATCATTATATGAGAGGTATATTCATATTCTGATCGGTGTGGTGGAAGCTCGCAGTCAGCTGCTTTATGCGGTGCATTGTGGGAGTGGTGCACACCAAAATATGGTTTCCTATGTGGATCTGTGCTCCCTGCTCATTGTCTGCGACACGTGTTTCTGTAGTTGCCATCCCCATTACGATAGTGCCCTGTGCTTGTGCGCACTGTCTGTTGTTGGCAAGTACCAAAATTGTCTTGTAAAAGTGGGTTGGGGGTCAGTACAGTCGAGGTCGTGGAATGTATCCCTATTTGTTACATTGTAAAGTGGGTTTCCTTTATGCAAATTCAAGTTATGTTGAATTTGCATAAATTCAGGAATGTATGCAAATTCCAGGAATGCATAAAGCCAGGGAAACCTGTACAGCCAAACAGTTTTGGAACTTAATTCCTGCTTTTTTCCAGGGCATGTTATTTGAGTGTATGTGGACTGACTTCATCTATCCATACTGGAAACCGCAAGGAGAACTAGACAGATCCCATTTGAGAATCTTTAATTGAATTTCAGGTATTTCTTTTCCAAAATTTGGCAGTGTCTGCCTTTTGAGTCCTATTTCAACTTTATTATATACTTTCAAACACCCAGTCAGTCACTATATTTCTCCTGTTTGACACAAGAAAGGATAACAGATTAGACTTTCATGGTCTAATTCCACTGCATCACTCCAGAAAACGTTATAATTAGAGTCTTATGGTGAGAAGTGCTAAGCATGACTGAAACGTAAGACATAACAGGCCTGACACTGCATCCACCATCACATAGGCAACACACTCCATTCAATGCCCTGGTAGCTCTTACTGCATTGCTCCACCCAAAACTCAAATAGGGGAGTCAATAAGGAGTTGCCCTGTGCATTGACACAGCAGATCTGTTCTAGTCTCATCCCAGCCAGCTGACACCGAGCGTAAATCAGATACAAACGCCATACAAAGCAATAGCCCAGTTCCCAAGTGGATAAACAAGCAGGCTGAGGAGTTTACCTAAATGAAAGATCAGGGCTACTGCCAAAGAAAACAGCAGGATTATGCTGTGATTGTTTTTTCACTAGAAGTGCAAGGAAGCAATAAAAAGCAGGGGGGAGAGGACATTTTTTTAAGCATTGCATTTGAGGGGAAGTGCTTGTTTACACAGCATGGCAGGTACTATAAATCAGCTGGCAGAAAAAAGGAAGTTGCAAGCTAAATAACGTGATAACAAACAGGGAAGAAGGAATGGGAAGAGGACCAGAAAAATCTAGGAAGCCCCTGTGCAAAACAGGTTGTTGACTAAGGGCGTGTGTAGACGAAACGGGGGCCCTAAATTGAAGCGGTGGGTTTTTGAAAACACCGCTTCAGTTTAGGGCCCTTTAAACCTGCATGTCATGCACACACCCAAACTTACCTGCCTCTCCAGAGGTGGGGAGGGCAGGATGAGCTGCCGGAGGGTGGAGAGGTCCCTGGGCTGCAGGCGGGGCTGGTGCTTCCTTCCATGGCAGCAACAGCCTCCCCCAGGCAACACCCGCCTGCAAGCACCTGGATAAGGTGGTCCCGGGGGGCACCGCAGCCGAAGAGGGAGGCACCGTGCCTCCACGCAGCTCAGGCAGGTAGGCTCCAAGGAAAAAAAAGATCAGGCTCTCCGCTATTGTTGGGTGGAGCCTGTCTTCCCAGGCTGCTGCCAGGCTTCCTGCAGAGCCCCTGGGCTGCATGGAGCCTGGTGCTTCACTTCGCAGCTGGCAGGGCACCAAACTGAAACTCCTCGAAGAGTTTTAGTTTGCTGCGCCCCAAGTCATTTAAGGCACATTATGCCACCCACTTTGCTACAGTGGCTGGAATTACTACACGATACGCCACGGATGCGTGCAAACACCAACACCATTAAAGCGGTGCAAAAGCATTTAACCCACTTTAAAGTGTCGTGCACACATGCCCCTCATTTCACCCGCACACGGCCAAAGCTCTTTGTCACAAGTGAAATTACCTTCACCAAATAAAAAACAATCTTGCTCTCATTCTCTCAGCTAGCACCACCGGCAGCGTGCAAACTTCCCTGTGAATCTGTGAATCTCCTTTTCACACCCCACTGGAGTCTTCTGTTTTACTTGACTGGAATTATTCCAGATTTACACCAAAGCGATTAAGAAAATAATTAGGCCTCATTACAACGCAGTTTTTATACCCGCATAATATATTATTTAGGGATGGGATTATTATTTTAACAATATAGCTTTACCAGTACAATCCAAATATGGATTTGGTTATACCTGTATTAAAGTGCCTAACACCAATTTAGCTTAATACCCTTCCTAGACAGGAATAGCTGCTACATGAATCAGTATAATTATGTTGATTAATTAAGCCAATACTAACTTCATGTCAAAGAGTAAAACTTCCCAGCATTTACAATGTCTAAGTGACACTGGGTGTATCTACGAGATCCTAAATCACAGTAGACTAATTCTACTGTGGATTAGCATGTCACCGTAAAAGCCGTGCTAACACCCAAATGCACAGTAGAATTAGTCTACTGCACATTAGCATCATGTAAAACATGTGCACCAGTGCTTCTGTGCGGTAGTGCTGATTATGATACATCAAATTAGTACCTATTATTACAGGTACTAAACTTAATGCGCTATAATTGCAGAGCATTAATGTACATGTAAACATGCCCACTAACTCTGAGAATCAAGCTGAAACAATTCTGATCCAAATTACTTGGGTGTAAAGTCAGAGAAACTCCATTGGATCAATACCAGTCCAAGGGAGAGCCAGGTGGCTGTGCACAATACACATTTTACAGTCCAAATTTCCTCTTGCTTAGATACTTTTACTGATTATTTTTTCTGTAACCAATCTGTTTTCTTACAATAGGCATGGCGTAGGCATCCAGCCTCTTATGTTACACTGGTAGAGACTACATCACAGCTGAAATTCTCTTCAAAAGATTAATCAAAACTCATGACAGAGGTGATATCATTTACTAAACCAACTAGATATTTGCCAAAAAAAAAAAAAAAACCCTTTATTCTTTGAAAAGAGGGGCACTTGCCATAGACTTGCTGTAATGCTACCAACAGATCAGACTTAAAATTCAGTCCCTTGTTTTACAGACATTTGGGGCCAGATTTTTAGATGGTGTCAATTAAGATCAATGGAGTCACACACATGCACATCAGCTGTAGGTTCTGCCTCTACATTTTGCAAATACAGCTCTCTAAACTTATTAGCTGCCTTCATTATCACTCTCTCAGGACAATAAGTGTTGTGAATCATTTTGCCAAGTAAGCAGCCATTCTTCCTCGTACCTAATAAGCGGACGGCCACTTAAACCAAGTTTCCTCCACAGTGAACTTCAGAAACAGAAAAGAATCCTAACAGCAACTGCACATGTCTAAACTCTGTTTGCTCAAGGAACTTACTTCTTCAATGGGAATCTCATCTTCCACTGGGCAGGCAATATGGTATGAGGGAAATGGATCTGACCATCCTTTCTTCGTGCAGTTTCTTCTCACCAGGCCAGCTAAAACAGAAAAGTTCTGTATTGCTAAAGAAGCCCATGCATTCATTCCAGGGACAACCAAATTCAGCAGTAGTAGGTTGCTTCCTATTAAGGAACCGTAGAATAAGAGAAGAACAACCCCTGCTAACAAGAAGACAGGGAGGAACAAAGTTCCTCCTGATAAGGAGCACATGGTTGCAAGTCTAGGACAAGGGGAAGCTTGTGAGGTTCACTTCTGAACTTCCTGAAGTGTCCTCCATTGAAGATCAACATTGCCCCAGTCACAAAGAATCGTTTTTGTCCTTCCAAGGTTCCCTGATATAAGCTGATGACCATGCTCTGGATAAATTTAACTTCTCTTGTATAAGAGATGGAAACTTCTTCTCCTCCCAAATCCAGAGTGGGTTTCTCTTAGGCACTTCATACCCAGAATTGCTGTGCTGTGCATTTTCTGTAGAAGCAATGAAGAGCTAGGGAGGCAACACAAAGCAAAAACCCGTCTCACGCACGATGTATAATAATGTATTTGCATTGTGACAGCACATTGGAGTCACCAACCAGGGCTTCAGTGTGCTAGATGCTGTACAAATGCAGAGCAAAAAGATGGGCCCTAAGATTCAGTCTAAGTAGAGTTTCTCTCTCCGTCTATTCTGGCCCTGCACCAGTGAATTCGGGGTGATAAGATAAAAACCATATCCACCATTATGTGTTATAAAAAGAGCAGAACTACGGAAATTACTCACAGGAATGGCTTGTTTGGATATTAACTATTTTGTTCAACACCATATCTGTGCTTGGTGCTGTGCAGATGAGGAAGCAACAGTGAAAAATAACTAGCTTTCCTATTTCATTTTTAGGGCTTTTCTGTTTCTCATACAGTGAACCCCAGAGGGAAAGACCCCCACCCCCACCCCCACTTCCCCTGAGACAGACCTCATACCATGCTAACATTTCTCTTGCTATAGGATAACTATAATCAATAGCTCCTAGTTATACTCTACCCCCTCCCCTATGCCCTTTGTGTCTACTCCCTTCTTGACATTGGATACAACTAGCTGGTTTATCTGGCATAACTGTTTTGTCCGGAGAGTGATAACAGGGTTTTCAGTAGAAAGCTTTATGAGCCAGATCCAGGATAAGTCTGAGGATTTTATGGGAGGAAATGAAGTTTGCAGATGAAAGGAACGTTCCTGATCCCTTGTTTATAACTAGCAGGTGTCACATGCTGCGAGGAGGGTGGTGGGCAGGCTTGGGGGATTACTGTTTTTTCTTTTGAAACTGCCAAATCTCCGTCTTTCCTGGAAGCTCGGTTCTCCCCACATGTTCTCAGTTATCAGGCCAAATTCATCTCCAGAATAAGCAACTGCCAAGCCACTGATTTCCACCAAGTTACATCTGCTTTCATCAGATCTGCTTCTGGCCAGATTTCATGGCAAAATTCTGCTTCCCCTCTCTGTTCTCGGCCCTAAGGACTGCTCACATCATTCATTCATGATCCTTTCATTTCATCCCATATTAATCACAAACTAAACCTCTTAAGGCCCACTGTTGATTCAAACAGTACTCCCTGATGAACCCAAGAGGCGCTTTCCCTTTGGGCTGATCTCAAAGCCCTTTGAAACAAGTGAGAATTTCTCCATGGACTCAAGCACTTTGTTTCAGGTTCACAGTGTGAAATGCTAGACCAAGCCCCAACCATGGAGGTCACCCAGGACCCCAGACAAACTGCAAAGCACCCTCTAACAAAGGTAGACGTTCCTGGAGTAGCACTCTCCTTACCCCCACTTTCCACATGGCTCAAGCCTTGCTTCCATGACCCTCGCTTTCATGAGCCTAATGGGGTCATGTGCAAATTTAAAGCAATGAAATCAATCTGCAAGGGTCCCTCACCTGGCTTCTTCATGAAGTAAAAGAGGATGTTCGGACATGGTAAGGCAATAGTCTCTCCAGCATCTGCATCAGGCCAGCACAGCAACCGGTCCCATGTTTTCTTGCAACCTCACAGAGGAAAGGAAACACATTGCTAAACCTTCTTTGTATTTCAGTATGAAACATCTCATTGTAGCCATGACACCACCAGGGAGACTATGCTGGGGGAAATGAAGGAGGAGGATTTCTGCAGCAAGGCCAAGGAACTCATTGCCGCAGGATGATGTGGAAGCCAATGCTACCAGGCTCTAAAGGGAATCAGACGTATTTGTGAAGGACAGGTCAAGGATGTAACCTGCTGGTGGTGACTGAGAGGGTCTGACAGGGGATGAATTACACTGCACATGTCCTGTTAATTATAAGCCAGATCCAGAGTAAGTATGAGGATTTTAGGGGAGGAAATGAAGTTTGCAGATGAAGGACTACTCTTTGTCTCCAGCATTCACTAGTTACCAGTGTTGGAGACCAGACACTGGTCTAGGTGGATCTTTGGCTATTCTCATGTTTTTATATTCACATCCCGTTTGAGGTGTCTATCCATCTCACCAGTCCACATTTTTGAAAGATAACTTAACTAGCTTCTTCCAGGCAATGCAGCACATATGGTGTTTTCAATGGGCTTGGAGCCGGGAGATGGGGTGACATGGTTCGCTGGCACTGCGTTTCGGGCACAGAGAAAAAGCAAAGTGGGGAAGAAAATCAAGGGAGCAGAGATAAGGTCATGGAGAAGGTGAGGGAAGAGTGAGGCAGAAAGGCTGGTCAAGACACAAGGATAGCTGATCCTGAATGAAGGACCATAGCATCTGAACTTGATGTCCAGGGTGATGGGGAAACAGCAAAAAGACTTGGGTTCAGTTCTAGAGCTGAATAGAGAGGTTACACATCTTCTTCCTCTGAACCAGCTTCATTCACTTTTCAAATCCACGGCCTGTTTCCCTTTCAAGACACCATATACTGTACCTTTAGTCCCATTTCCCCAGTCTTCAGCATCCCTCAGACACTCATTCTCATTTTTCTTTAGCTCAGTTACAAAATCGCATTCTGGATGGACATGCCCAACCACCTACAAAGGAGAAGAGTTTGTCACTTAGGTAGATGAATATCACCCTGCCTCAGGCATTATCAAGGACTGTTTCCTATGTTTCCTAGCAGTAGGCAGCCCCTCTCCATAGCATTGCACTTAACTCAAATGACTACATCCTCTGGGAGTCAACAGAACTATGCAGATTTCCATCAAGAGCAAAGCCGCAGTGGGTGTAAATTATGATCACTCCATGGACTATATAGGAGAGGCTCTGCCCCACATAAGGTTTGGCTCAGAATACCTCTCCCATCTCTGACAAAATAACATTGTAGGGATTTTGTTGTTGTTCTTTGCAAGGTACTTTTTTTCTGTTCCCATCGGCATCTTCTGCCACAGACTTCAAAAAGAGCAAGTGTGATGCATTCATTATGCTTTCGGCCCATCTACATGACCGATGCCAAAGGTAGGATTTAATTCTCTCCAGTTCGGTAACAAAGGGCTCCCATAAAAATATATTCAAATGGACAAGTCATACTCGCTGCTGTCTGGGTGCTCTGGACCAGGTAAAAGAGGGACAAAAAGAAATATAATAGAGCCCATCCCTACCCCACTTCTCCTGCAATCCCAGCTGCTATCGAGCAGGATACTAAGCTACAACCCCAAAAAATGCTGGAGGGTTGGATAGAATCAGGGTGCCATGGCCAAACAAGGTGTAGGCTGCTGGATCCCAGTTATAGGTTGCAAGCCAGCTGATAAATATACAGTGGGGTGATATCCAGTGCTGTACATAACTCCTTTTCATGGGAGACGAACTACAAGCTCTGCTCCTCCAAACCATCTCTCTCCACACCAGCAGGACAGTTCGTATACCCAACACATGGTCAACCCCACTCCACTTCGTTTCACTCCCATCTGTACTGGGCAGAAACATCACCCATCAATGCATCCTTTTAAAAAAGAAAAGACAAAGTGAAACAAGCTGAAATCTTCCTGATGAACAGGTGGTCGGATTATTCTATTCAGCCCCGCTGGATGCAGGAAGGATAACTATTCAGCGAAGTTTGGAAATAGATATCTTTCTTGCAAGTCATTCAAAGGGCAAAATGTAATAATTCGAATCCACTGGTGTTCCCCATTCATATTAACATCCTCACCTCAAGCTGATCTACAGAGCATTCAAACTGATGGGGCTAGCTTACAACTCGAAGCTCTCAGCCTGCGCTTTAGTGAGACACTGAAAATGACGCTGTTGATTTGGACAGAAAAAAAAAAAAGATTGGGCTTTATGGAAAAAAATATATATATTGAACCTGGGATCCCATGCCATGCAATTCTGTTCTCAGCTTTTCCTGATTGGACTGCAAGACTTGAAAAGTGGCCTTTGAAATTAGCAGTGCCTATGAATGCCAGTGATATATTCCTATACTAATTCCTGTGTGCTGCGTCTTTAAATGCCCAGAGTCTTTTCTAGCGGCCTGCAGGACAACAGTAATAGGGGTCAGTTCAGAGTGGCTGCATTTCATATTACACACTTTTAATTTCTATTCCAGACTTGGATTTATTCCTCCTTTGCTGTTCCCCTTAATCAGTAATGAATGAGATCTATATGAAAAGGTCATGTTTCATCCTGGTGTATTGAAACCATAGGAGAACATTGCTATGCTAATCAGCATGAAAACTAGCCATATCTTTCACTGAATGGATATTTTATTTTATTGAGCCGGTTTGGTGACCTGCGTCCAGAAAGATCTTAGCAGGGTGGAAATGTACCCAGTTGCCCAGTCAAAAGAATTTCTCCTGGCAAAATGACTCTCTTTTGCTTTTGCCTCTGAAGACTGCCTTTTGAGTTCAGTAAAAGTTAAAAAACAAAAACCCTGTCTGGCTCGTTCACAAACCCAGAACCCAGGGAAAATAGAGTATATTTTCTTTTTTGCCCTCTCTAAACCTGAAAAATTCATGAGAACTTTTGTTCACGTGCCTGTGAAATAAAAGGTCCGTGATTAAGGTTAAAGGTCACTTCTCCAGGGTGTCCTAATTTTACTGCAGCTCCTCTAATGCAGCAATGCTGAGCAGTTGCGATTCCCACCATCTTGACTAAAAGCTGCAGATCTTTTATGGGCAACAGAAAACTCAGACGAAGCAAAGTGAAAAGATTCCCTGTCCCTTGGTCTGTTATGGGTACACACACATCCAGCCAGCCCTGGTGTCTAACTGCTTACCTAGTGGGCACCTCCTCTGGCCATATTTCTGAACACGAGCATCTACTGTGCTGTGCTTTGGGGTCAACTCAGTGTAGATGTACTCGGAGCACACAAACCAGAGCTGGGCCTGTGGGGGAATTAGCTGAGCTGAGCATCTCAGTGGCTGTTTCATACCTAAGGGTATTTGGGATTTGCACCTAAGACAGTGGTGCATGTATAGCTTTATGTATAGGACGAGAACTTTCTCTACCTATACAAGTGTGCTGGCAAAAATATAGGTGCCTGGGTACTTTCAAGGCACCTAGGAAGTTGGTTTGGGTGGGGGTGGTTGTGGGTTGCTTCTTTGGACACAGGTGGCCAAATCCTGCTTATATTATGTGACAGTGGCTTGAATGCTTTTTTTTTTTTTATTGTTACTGCTTATCTAGTAATTAGTTACTGGAGGTTAGTCAGACACTTGAGTCTCCATTGCTTCCAGTCACTTGCACCTGGACAAACTGTGGGCCTTAACATGCTGCTATTGTGAAGTTTCCTCAATATATATGAAGGTACATCTGCACTGCAGCCACATCTGCACCATGGACATTAGTGTGAGAGCTGCTCTTCTAAACATTTCCAAGCTTTAAAGCAAGTGGCTGGGGGCTGCTAGAAATCTAGCCACAGGAGCATGGACTTCAGCACAGACTAAGCTACCAAGCATTTACTTAGCCCCTGAACACCCCCAGCAATGCCTGAAGTAGCTCATTTCAAGCTGGTGCAGGTATACCTTACATGAGCTGCAGTCACAGTCACAGATATACCCCGAGAAAGGTGAGGAACATCATAGGATCATAGGAAAGCAGGGCTGGAAGGGACCTCATAAAGTCATCTAGTCCAGCCTCCTGCTCAAGCCAAATCATCCAGCCACGTGTCTGCCTACACTGCCCTTGAAAATTTAAACAACTTCTCCAGGCAGCCTGTTCCAGTGCTTCCCACGCTCATAGTCAAAAAGTTCCTCCTACTCTCCAGCCTAAATTTCCCCTACCACAGCTCAAGTCTATTGCTCCTAGTCCTGTCCCTTACAGCCACAGAAAAAAGCCCATCTCCATCCTCTCTGTAATCACCCTTCAGGTATTTGAAGGCTGTTATCAAATCCCCCTTCAATCTTTTCTTCTCCAGAGAAGCATGGGTAGAGAAAGAAGAACATGCAAGCTGTGTAGCTAGGCAGACAGTGATGTTTGCATTGGATAGGGCCTCACTTTTCAGGTTAACATTACAGATTCCTCATTTTTATGCATAAGCAGTCACACATAGAAAAGCTACCTGTTCCCCCTCTGAATTAGTCATTAGAGTTTCCCTTATCCATATCAATAGTTTGTTGTAAGCGAGTGTGGTTACAGTAGATTTATTTGCTGGTGCATTTCTCCCTCCCCTGGTCTCTCCCCCTCCCCACCTCTCCCACACACACAGTTAGCTATAATGTGCAGCCAGGCTCTGGAAAGGGATTAAATGTTCTGCTCTGCTTCTCTTCCTCCGGACCAATGGACAGCTCAATGAAAAGCTAAGAAATTGTACCAACCTAGCACTGGCTTGGAAGTCAGATCTGGCCCTATACCCATGGCCGCATCCTAACACTACACTAATCCAGATAATCAGCCCCTCTGAACACCATTAAACTCTGAAAACATTTGGACTCTGACCTGGCCTTTGAATCTTTGCCCCATATCTAAGTACATCTCTGGATGTCGATCTCTTATCTCCCTCCATGATCTTGGGGTCGTGGAGGGGCCCTGTAGTAAACCCCCGCGTAGAACATGAAGCCCTGTTGAATCCTTTGTGCTCACCCCTTGCAATTGCCAGGATGACAAAGTTGCCGGATCAGAACTTGGCCCTTAAGAGGTAAGGATTTCAGGCCCAGAAACTTCACCCACATATCCGCATTAGTATTCTGCGTGCAGGGTAGTCAAAGAATTTGGGGGCAGAGGGAGGGATAACTGTGTCACCCATCATAATCCATCATAATCTACTGCATTGGCCCAGATCCTCCAGCAGCATAAATTATCAGAGATCCATCCAATAGAGCTATAAAGATTGAAAACCAACTGGGGTCTGTCCTATTGCATCTTTCAGACACTTCTTTACACCCACTTAGGGCTGCAGATCTTGAAGTGATCCCACAAGTCCAGGTTTTGTGGGGTGGGTCAGACAGCATCGCATGCAGCCTAGATCTGACAACAGCCTCTGGGCCTCGTGTTTTAAGTAAATAGCTACTCATGATGACCCTGACTTTTGGAAACAACTTGAGACATTCACAGGTCTTGCTTTTCAGCAGATGCCCTATGTGGCGTCTCAGGGAAAACATCCGGGCTAGGTACAGACATTCAAAAAGCTTGAGGCAGAATCAATCTAAGCTATGCAGCTTTCTGTAAGCGGTGTAGTTTAGATTAGTAGTGAGCAGATGTTTGCCCTTTGGTGAGCAGGCAAGTCTTAGAGTGGGTTTTGCCATTTTTAAATCAGTCTCTGTATGCTGAACCTCTGTTACATAGACCACTTTCCAATCCCTTATACCAGTTAAAGTGTTGTGTCTATACCTGGCCCAGAGGTGCAACAAGCAGCTTTTTTGCTCTGGGTGGAAGCTCTTTCTCCCTGATACTTTCACTCTGACAAGGGAGCTCTGATGGTTCTTCACTCATATCAAATGTGAAAACCCCACTGTCAAAGAACAAAGACAGTTTTGATTCACAGAAGCTAAAAATATCCTCAAGGTGTCAGATTCCTTTCCAAGTCCAAATCTAGGAGGAAGAGAGGGAGCTATTTCTCTTTGCTACACATCAATCGTGATCTTGATCTTTGATTTGAACCAAGACCTGCCTTGAACGGAGCACTGCTTGTACAAAGTCTGGACAGGGAATCTCAGGATGGTGATTCGGGAAAGAACTTGGGAGGGGATGAAAGTCAGTACTCTCAGTACACTGGAGGGGGGAAGTTTGAGTGGGAAAGGGGCCATATTCTAACGTTCTTCACACACAGTGGTGCATCTGCATGTGACATTAATGTGATGCAATAAACTCAAGAGCAGTTCATGCCAGAGTCAACCGGTCCCAGGCTCAGCTTCTACACGTGCACCCAGGACACCAGCAATTTGAGCTGAGGCAGAGCAAGCCCCAGGCTGCCTGGGCTGACCAGATCCAATTTACACCCCCGGTCACTGTCTACACATGCTTTTCAGTGCAGTAAAATACTCTGCCATAAGATAGTACTGTTCCCGACAGTACTATCCTACGGAAGAGTTAATTACTTTACTGCACCCTAATCCTGGTGCATGTGTAGCCAGTGACACTGTACTATGGAGTGAATTAGACTACTCCGCAGTAAAACACACATGTAGATGCCCCCAGGTAGTAGTGTGTAATTTAGTCAATGGTTTCAACAGACTCAGTAGGAGTTATGAGGTACACAGGCTGTGGTGGCAGTGTGGTAACAGAGTGGTTAAGATGACTTCCTACAGCTTTAGGGTTAGGAGTGCAAGCCCTGCTCTGAACGTGAGCCATGAGCTGCCATAAGCTGCCCCCAGCTGTTAGTGAGTGTGTGGTCATTTACCCTGGGGATTCAAAGGCAGCTGGACATGATGTTTGCCACATGACACCTTTGGGTGTACTGCTGACTACAGAAACTGGGGTGTCTGCAACATATTTGCCCTATAGGCAGTTAGGTTTGGGAGGAATCTTGATTCATGAGACCGGCATAAGGGTATCAAAATCTAAGGTATTCAGAAAGGAGAATAACAAATTTAGAAATGGGTGAGGGTAGAAAACACACACAGCCGTGGCAGGAAAGTGGCTGCGTCTGAAGCTGCTGTTCTCATGCCTCTAAGAGCTGCATTCAGAATGACAATGAGAGAAGCTGTATCTTTCCCAACATTTTTTTTTCTATGGGATCAATCCCATTTTTTTTTGCAAGGACACAATACAAAGAGTACTATGCAAAAAGATAGTCATGGAAAAAGTATAGGGAACATGGTTAATGTTTCCAATAGTTCCCCCCCAAGAAGAAGTGTATAAATGTTCATCTTGTGAGGTTGTATAATTAAAAGCTCTGAAATGTAAAATTAAACTGAGGTTCCAAACATGGGGCCTGTTCCAAATTTAGGACTTGTTTTCAGAGCTCCCAGCACCTACAATTCTTATAAGTGAATCAGATTCATGGGCTCACATAGTTTCATAGTTTCTAGGGTTAGAAGGGACCTGAGTAGATCATCTAGTCCGACCCCCTGCCATGGCAGGAAAGAGTACTGGGGTCAAATGACCCCAACAAGGTGTACATCTAATGACCCCAGCAAGGTGTACATGACCCCCTGAATATCAGGCTGATTGTTCAACATCTAGTTACATTAGCAACCAACACATGAGTAAAGCCTGCAGAATTAGAACATTAAGAAATATCAAACAGTCTATCCACTTAAAACAGATCATGTCTTATTCCTGCTACAATCTGCAATAAAAACCTAACATCTATTTATCTGACTTTTCCTCTGGTGTTTCCTCCCATGTGTATCACCACAGAGCATTATTTGCATGTTTAAACTAGTTTATACCGAAAAAAATTGAAAAAAAAATGTTTAAAGACTTAAACTTTTAAAGCCACTCCGTAACCATAACCCAAGTAACACAGGGAAACAATGGTACCAAGAAATACTAATGGAGAAGGTGGAAAAAAGTTTCTTCTCTCCTTTTCTCAGTCAAAGATCGAATGCTCACAAAACACCTGATCTGCCATCCATACCCATGCCAAGTACCACCTAACTTTGTGAGCAGGTGAGTTTTTGTGGGCTAAGGTGTTACTCATCTTACGTAAAGGTGGAAGAATCCTGCCCAGAAGAAAGCAAGATCCGTGCTATGTCCTTTAGTGAAGAACACGACTAACTAGTAGGACCAGATTCTGCTCCCCTTTTTATGGGGAATAGTGCTCCCCTCCCTTAATAATTACACTGAAGCATTGCATGAATGCCATAGCACACCACGAGGGAAATGAGAGGTGCATATAAAAAAAAAATAGGCTTTTCCACAGTTATTCCATATCATAGCCTATTTCTTTCCAGGTGCAAAAAGATGTTGTGAGCCCAATGATCCTGTGATGTCGTGTTCCATGGATCACCACCCCTGAGGGGCGTGATACCGTAAAAAAGGGGGTACTAGGTGTTTAAAATGGCATTATAATCTAAAGCAAGGAACAACTTGCTTCTCCATCCCCCACTCTCCTTTACATGAATAAACATGTAATCTGGCTCCCAAATAATTGTCTGAAGCAGAATGGTGGTTTTTTTGGACAGTTTTTCTTTACACCTTTTATGAAGTTATTGGGCAAACCTCACTATGATAGAAGACGGCAAAACTTCTGGGGATTCTGGTCTATTTGCTCTTATCGCTGTTATCGTCTCAAATACTGGCACACTACATGTTACAAAAACACCAGTGAAATGTCAGCCTGTAACGTGGCAGATGTCAAAGGTTAACACAGCCATCCCCAAACTCACAGCCTCCATCATATTAACTCTTCTCTATTTCCTTTTTTTTGTTGTTCCTCTTTTTTAAATCCCCCATACACACATTTTGCTATCGGCAATGTCAAAACATTGAGTAACAGAGCAGTGAAACACAATGTTACACCAATCCTGCAGCTTGTATGCCTCTTCTGCTACAGCTTGCACTGTTCCTAGCATCTTGCAATTTTTAATGTGAATCAAAGTCAAATAAAGGAAAGGGTGTGGGGGGGGGGGGGAAAAGAGGGGGTGGC